TTTGAGGAACCTCCATACTGTTTTCCAGAGCACCAGCTTGCATTCCCACCAATAGTGTAGGTGGGTTTCCCTTTCTCCACATCCTCGCCAACATCTGTCATTTCCTGACTTGTTAATTTTAGCCATTCTGACTGGTGTGAGGTGGTATCTCATTGAACTGATTCAATTTCATTGGTAGTATTCAGTCTGTTCAAATTTTGTATTTCTTCCTGATTCAGATTGGAAGGTTTTATGTTCCTAGGAATTTATCCATTTCTTCGAGGTTGAACAATTTGTTAGCATATAATTTTTCAAAATCTCTATTATTGTTTGTATTTCTGTGGTTTCAATGGGTATTTCTCCTCTTCATTTCTGATTTTATGTATTTGAGTCCTCTCTCTTACTGGATGAGTCTGGCTAAAGGTATATCAGTGTTGTTGATATTTTCAAAAAAATAGTACCTGGTTCATTGATCTGTTCTCTTATTTTTTTTTCAGTCTCTGTTTCATTTATTTCTGCTCTAATATTATTTTTTTCCTTCTGCTGGTTTGGGGCTTTGTTTTTCTTTTTCTTGGTCCTCTAGGTGTAAGGTTAGGTTGCTTATTTGAGATTTTTCTTCTTGAAGTGGACCTATATTGCTATAAACTTCCCTTTTAGAATAGCTTTTGCTGCATCTCAAAGATTTTTGGACCCATTTGCTGTTTAGAAGCGTGTCATTAGGCTCCATGTATTTGTGTTCTTTCCAGATTTTTTCTTGTGATCGATTTATACATTCATACTGTTGTGGTCAAAGAAGATGCATGATATGATTTCAGTTCTTTTGAATTTGCTGAGACTTGATTTGTAGCCTAACAATCTATTCTGGAGAATGTCCCATGTGCCCTTGGAAACAATGTGTATTCTGTTGTTTTTGAATGGGGTTCTCTGAATATATCTGTTAGATCCATTTAGTCCAATGTGTCATTCAAAGCCACTGTTTTCTTGTTGATATTCTGTCCGGATGATTTATCCATCGATGTAAGTTAGGTGTTAAAAGTCCCCTACTATTATTATATTAATGTCAGTTTATATTAATGTCAGTTTAATCCTTATTGTCTCTTAATAGTTTTTTTATGTATTAGGTGCTTCCATGTTGAGTGTGTAAATATTTACAATTGTTAATATTCTCTTGTTGGATTGTTCCCTTTATCACTGGGTAGTGTCCTTGTCTCTTGTTACCAGTCTTTGTTTAAGGTTTATTTTATCTGCTATTAAGTACTGTTACCCAGCTTTCTTTTTGCTTCATTTGCATGGTAAATGATTTTCCATCCTTTGCTTTCAATTCGCACGTGTCTTTAGGTGTGAAGTGATTCTCTTGTAGGCAGCTTATACATAAGTTTTGCTCTTTTATCTCAGTCACCCTGTGTCTTTTGATTGGAGTTTTTAGTTCATTTACATTCAAAGTAATTAGCAATAGGTATGTACTTACTGACATTTTGTTACTTGTTTTATTGTTTGGGTAGTTCTTCCCTGTTTCTTTCTTTTCTTGCTTTCTTCCATTGTGGTGTGCTAGCTTTCTTTAGTGATATACTTGAATTGCTTTCTTTTTATGTTTTTGCATATCTGTTACAGGTTTTTAATTTCTGGTTACCATTGGGTTGCTGTATAATATCCTATGCGTATAGAAATCTACATCAGTTGATGGTTGCTTAAGTTGGAACCCATTCTAAAAGCACAACATCTTTACCCCCCTCCATGTTTTATGTATATGATATCATACTTTGCATCCTTTTATTTTTTAATAACTTGCTAATGTTTAGTGATATAATTGATTTTACTGCTTTTGTGTTTTAACCTCTGTACTTGTGTTATATATGATTAATCTAGTATGTACATTTGTTTATTTTAAAGTTTATTTATTCTCTACACCCAGCTTGGGGCTTGAACTCACAACTCAGAGATCAAAAGTTGCATGCTCTTCTGACTGAGCCAGCCAGGTGCTCCAAATCTGGTAATTTTTATTATGTTTGTATTTGTGTATGAAAATTTTCTCTTTTCAAATTTATCTTCTGTTTATGACATTTTCTTTCCAATCAGACTCTGTTTTAACGTTTCTTGTATGACTGGTTTAGTGGTGATGAGCATTTTTAACATTTATTTGGGAACTCTTTATCAGCCCTTGTATTGTGAATGATAGCCTTGTTGGATACAGTATTCTTGGTTGTAGATTTTTTTCCCTTTCAGCATTTTCAACAGATCATGCCCTTCTCTTGCCTGCAAAGTTTCTGCTAAAAAAGAGGCTTTATGGGGTACCTGTCTTCTGTTCTCTTGTTGCTTTTGAAATTTTCTTTTTATCAATATTTTTTTTCCATTTTAATTATTATATGTCTTGGTGTGAACCTCCTTGGGTTGATTTTGTTGGGGGCTCTCTCTGCCCCTTGGATCTGGATTTCTGTTTCCTTTCCCAGATTAGGGAAATTTTCAGCTATTATTTCTTCAAATAAATTTTATGCCTCCTTTTCTCTCTCTTCTTCTTGGATTCCTATAATGTGAATGTTATTACACTTGATGATGTTGCTGAGTTCCTTTAACCTATTCTCAATTTTTCTTATTCTTTTTCTTTCTGCTGTTCAGCTGGTTGTTTTCCATTATTCTGTCCTCCAGGTCATTGATCTGTTCTTCTGCTTCCTCTTACTGTTCATTTCACCTAGTGTATTTTTAATTTCAGTTATTGAGGTCTTCATCTCTGGGTCTTTTTTTTTATGTTTTCTATCTCTTTGTTAAAGCCTCACTGAGATCCTCCACTCTTTTCTCTAGTCCAGTAAGTTCTTTATGATCATTACTTTGAGTTCTCTGTTAGGCATATTGCTTATCTCCTTTTCCTTTAGTTTTTTTGCTGTGATTTTGTCCTGTTCTCTCATTTGTGACCTATTGTTCTGTCTCATTTTGTTTATCTCTGTGTTTATTACTCTATAGTAGGAAAATCATTTATGTCTTCTGATTTAAAATTAGTGGCCTTACGAAGAAGACGTCCTGTGGTGCGTTTTAGAGCACTGCTCCCTCTTCACCAGAGCCTGTCGCTACAGAGTTGTTTCCTTTATGTATAGCATGCACCCTGTTGTGGCTGAGCCTTGTTTGTCTTCTGTCCAGTTGGCTACAAAGGCCCCCTTTCTCTATTCTGGGTAGGGTATGGTCCTTGTGCTGTTAAGGGGCCAATCTGTGGTTGCCTTGGGCTTTAAGTTGGTTCAGACCAAATGCCTGCCATCAGCCGGTTTGCTGGGGCTGTGGTAGCATCAAATTGTAGGACGTTCTTCCTGCATTGTTCCCTGAGAGGTTTTCATTGGTGAATGGGGTCTTCAGTGAGACCAAATATCTGCCCCCAGTCTGTTAGGGTTGCAGTGACCCTGAACTACAGGGCTTTTTCCTTGTGCTGCTCCCTGTGAGTTTTTTATTGGTGGGTGGTGGTGGCAGTCTGATCAGATGTCTGTCCCTAGTCCCCTGCTGGGGCTGCAGTGGAACTGGTGTATATGGTTATTTTCCCCTCTCCCCAGAGCAGGAGTCCCTTTGGAGTGGTGCTTTTCACTGTTGTAGTTGATTGCAGGATAATACTTGTCAGAAGCTGCGATGGAGGGACTCCTCCCCAGTGGAGCAGGTTGAATGGGATGGATCTGCTGTAGAATGCAGGGCATGTGGTGTTAGCAGGGTAGATGGGGAATGTTACTGGTTCCTAGCAGGGCTACTTGTAGAATGAGTTTTGACAGTCACTGCTTTGGAGTGGCTCCTGCCCAGTTGGGTGGGTATGATGGGGGCAGATCCATAGGAGAATTTCAGGTAGGGTATACAGTGTTAGCAAGCTAGATAATGAGTGCTCATGTTCATTCTTGAAGCTGTCTGGTTATCTAAGCTGGCAGGGAGGAGAAATGTCACCTGCCAGCTCTTATATTCTTGGATAAGTCTCCTAAAAATCCTTGCCCTTGCAGCATGCATTCTGAGATTAGTAAAGAAATCTACTTCATGCATGCCCCAAGTAATTTTCAGATTGCTGCTGCTTTGCTATATTTTGGCAGGGTTGTTTGTTATGTTCTATTTTTAAGGATGGGGACTCAGTTTTCTATTGCTGTCCAGCTCTTCCAGAGTACAACCTACTGATTTTTGAAGTACCCAGTTTTAAGCTCTGCTAGTTATAAAAACTCCAAAAGTTAAGCCCCACTTGTTTTCAGAGCCAAATATTACGGGGACTTGTTTTTCCAATGCAGGTCCCTCATGTCTGGGGTGCCTGGTGTGGGGTCTGTTCCTCTTCTGGCTTCATGATTGTGGTGTACCTCCTGTTTGTGGTTAATCATGTGGGAGTTTCGTTCTTGACTGTTTCTCTGTCCCTCCTGCCATTTTTGATGTGGCCACTGCTCTAGAATTAACTGTACAGAGCCTGTTCTGCCAGTCTTTGGGTCATTTTCTGGGTTAGTTGCCCTGATGTGGCTGTTATCTAGGTGTATCCATGGGAGGAGGTGAGCTTGGGATCCTCCTACTCCACTATCCTACCAGACTCTCTCCCTCCAGTAATTGGGGTCTTCTTAGTTTTGTATGAGTTCCTTTGGGTACAGCAGCTCCTGGTCTCTGTTCTGTATATCACCTAGAACCTGGGAGTCTTGACCTGAAACACTGATGTTTAGAGTTCACTTGGAAGGCCAAGAAAGCATTTCTTTTGCAGTTCTGTTGCCTTCCCCAGACACCACCAACACGTGGGACACTCATCCCCTTATGTCTTTTGATCTGTGGAGAATGCCACGTTCCCTTTCTTTTTGTCATCAAAACTCCTTTTAACATAATGTGAAAAGTAAACTTAAGGCTTTTTACTGAAAAAAGAAGAATGATTATTGTTAAGTAGCTCCTATATTCTGCCCAGAAAGAAATAAATCCACAAAGCAGAAACACTACAGTTACCTGCATGTAAATGCAGTGAAAGAAAAATCAAGCAAATGAAATGTTTCAGAAAATTGTTCTGCCACGGTATATTTTATTCAGCAATCAAAGGCATCACTTACCTGACTGGTACTTTTCTGTTTGCAAGAAAACACACAACTGCGATTATAGTATGAATCATCAGGAAAGCTAGTCCAATGCACAGGAGAGCCCATATATCTGGAATTTCAAACCAATTAAAAAGATGAATATGCAGTGAAAAACATTTAAAACTCCAAATTTAAACAATTATTTAGTCACAATGTCACCTACTATTAGTGTATGTGAAATCTTCAGGGGAAGTGTTAACCTTAATGTGGCATCGATTTCCTTTCCATCCTTGTCCACATCTGAAAATGAGATAAAATGTGATATTTAAATTTAAAAAAAGTAGAAACCTATTTTAGCAGCATTATAATGGAAAAAAATGATGAATGTCAAATAATGATACAAGGAATGTAGGTAACTTTGATAAGAAACCAAAAATATTAAACCAGAGCAGAAACAAAATTTTATTATTTTCATAATTGAGATGATTTTAAAAATATCACCTTCTTGGGCGCCTGGGTGGCTCAGTTGGTTAAGCGACTGCCTTCGGCTCAGGTCATGATCCTGGAGTCCCTGGATTGAGTCCCGCATCGGGCTCCCTGCTCAGCAGGGAGTCTGCTTCTCCCTCTGACCCTCCCCCCTCTCATGTGCTCTCTCTCATTCTCTCTCCCTCAAATAAATAAATAAAATCTTAAAAAAAAAATCACCTTCTTGATTTTATCTGTAAGGTGGGAACTTAGCTTTCACATGCTCTTTTCTTATTTTAAGTATTGATTTGATTTTTACCAATGTTCAGTCCAATATTACCTTATTGTTCATTTGTCTCAAAGCTAAAAACTAGTACTTTTTTCACTAGGGAACAGATTTTTTTCAATATTGATGGAAATATTAAAATTACAGATTTACATAAATCAGTATATTTATCACTATATCGGGATGATCCTTCAGGTACATAGATTTGAAACCAGGTTGTTAATAACCTCAATATTGGATATACCTGCAGTACTACTATGACTTAATTAACTTTGCTTTATTTAGGGATATCATAATGAAACCTAGAACACTGGGAGTAATTCCTTTGTGGGTGGCTTTCAGAACATTCAGAAATGGGGATTAGCTTCTACCTCAAAGGGAAATCAGGTTTATTTTTAAGCAGTAAATATGTCAGATTTTTTTCTGGTATAGTATGAGTTTGCATGTGAGTGTGAAAGCTTATGTATTCATAACTTTTTATCAGAAATAACAGGATACAAATTATTTTTATTTATGTTTGGTTGAATTCTCTGCCGAGTTCATAGTACATGCCACAAAATAGGATTAAATGGTAGCTTTTGAATGTGTATGCATTGAAGCTGTGTATTACAAGCAATGCTCCTTCAGTACACAGTTGTATTTTACCTCAATCTTTTTGAATTTGAAAATGTGAATGCTTAACAGCAATTTCTGCACAAAAGCAATAGCTTCCTTAAATATAAAAAGCTTAGTTTCAAGGTCCATAAGAATGCCACCTTTCAAGGACACCTGGGTGGCTTAGGAGGTTGGGTGTCTGACTCTTGGTTTCAGCTCAGGTCATGATCTCAGGGTCGTGGGATTGAGCCCTGCATTGGGCTCTCCGCTCAGCACAGGGTCTGCTTGTTCCTCTCCTTCTGCTCTTACCCCCATTTGTACTCTCTCTCTCAAGTAAATAAATAAAATAGGGGTGCCTGGGTGGCTCAGTCAAATACCTGCCTTTGGCTCAGCTGGTGATCTTAGGGTCCTGGGATGGAGCCCTGCATCAGGCTCCATGCTCAGCAGGGAGTCTGCTTCTCCCTCTCCCTATACAACTCCCCCACCTGTGCTTGCTCGCTCTCTCTTTCACATAAATAATCAAGAAAATAAAAACAAAAGAATGCCGTTTCTCCTTTTCAGAACTAGAACAAATAATAGCAAAATTTATATGGAACCACAAGAGACCCGGAATGGTCAAAACAGTCTTAAAAAAGAAAAACAAAGATTGTGGGGGGAAGATGGTGGAGGAGTAGGGAACCTATTCTAACCGGTCCCCGGAATTGAGCTGGATCTCTGCCAGACCACTCTGAACACACATGAAATCAGCCTGAGATGTAAGAAAGAAGATAGATCTGGATCTCTACAAACACAATATCGCAGGTGGTGGGTTTCTTGGTACGAAGTGGGGAGCCGTGATTCCGTGGGCAGATATTGGAGGTTAAATGGGAGGGTGAGGGAGCTGAGCCGTTGGGATCCTACACTGCCTGTGAGCGATAGCCTCCCATGCTGGGGACCAGGCACAGACTTGTAGACCGGTAGCAATGGGGAAAGAGACTTTAGGGCAGCCCAGAATGAAACGAGCAGCAGGGCCATACGTGCAAACTGGGGGCGGCTGGCGGTTTTAGAAGCACAAAGGGCAGAGATGTGCCCCAACCTGGAAGGCGAGGACTGGGAGCACTGCTGAGAGGTGCACAACTCAGGACGCTGCAGTTTATAGCAGCACAGACAGAAATGGAGACAGTGTGGCCTGGAGAGCTCACTAAAGAACAAACTGTGATCTCTCTGCTCTGAGGCAGAGGGTTGAAAATGGTCTCCTCTGCTCTGACTCTTGGAAGAGACAGTGGAAAGCCGCCAGGGAAAGCCACCAGAGAACAAAAGCCCCCAAAAAACGGTTTTCACTGAGCCCATCCCCCGCCACAAAGGGCAGGGCAACTCTGCCCAAACAGGGTAGCCTGAGTAACAATGCGGCAGGCCCCTTCACCAGAAGACAGGCTGGGAAAACAAGAGGACATCAACCCTAAGGTCCCTCTAAAACAGGTACATCTTGCTTGGTTTGTGGTCAATAATTTGGACTCTATACATTCCCTCAACCACCCCTCAACAGAATGACTAGGAGGAGGAAAACCCAAAATAGGAAAGACTCAGAGACTATTGACTTATGCCACAGACTTACAAATGGATTCAGATATAACCAAGATGTTGGAGATGGAATTTAGGCTAGCAATTGTGAAGACAATAACTAGAACAGAGAAATCAATTAATGACAACATAGAGTCTCTAAGGGCAGAAATGAAAGCTGAATTGGCAGAACTTAAAAATGCTATCAATGAGATCCAATCTAATCTAGATAGTCTAACAGGTAGGGTAAGTGAGGCAGAAGAATGAATTAGTGACCTAGAAGACCATTTAATAGACAAAAAGGGAAAAGAGGAGGCCAGGGAAAAAACAAGTCAGAATCCATGAAAATAGAATCAGAAATAAGTGACACCATGAAACATTCCAGTGTCAGAATTATTGGAATCCCTGAGGGGGGAGAGAAAGAGAGGGCAAGAAGATATATATGAGCAAATTGTAGCTGAGAACTTCTGTAATCTGGGGAATGAAACAAACATTCATGTCCTAGAGGCAGAGAGGACCCCTCCCAAGATCAAGGAAAACAGGCCAACACCCCAGCATGTAAGAGTAAAACTTGAAAATCTTAGAACCAAGGAAATCATCTTAAGGGCAGTTAGGGGGAAGAGATTCCTTACGTACAGAGGGAGGAACATCAGAATAACGTCAGACCTATCCCCAGAGACCTGGCAAGCCAGAAAGGCCTGGCAAGACATATTCAGGGTACTAAATGAGAAGAACATGCAGCCAAGAACACTTTATCCTGCAAGGCTGTCATTTAGAATGGATGGAGAGATGCAGAGCTTTCAAGACTGGCAGAAACTGAAAGAATATGTGACCACTAAGCCAGCCCTGCAAGAAATATTAAGGGGGGGTTCTATAAAAGGAGAAAGACCCCAAGAGTGATATACGACAGAAATTTACAGGGACAATCTATAAAAACAGCATCTTCACAGGCAACATGATGACAATTAATTCATATCTTTCAATAATCACTCTCCACGTGAATGGCCTAAACGCTCCCATAAAATGGCACAGGGTTGCGGATTGGATCAAAAGACAGGACCCATCCATATGCTGTCTACAAGAGACTCATTTTGAATCTACATACATCCAGACTGAAAGTGAAGGAATGGAGATCCTTCTTCCATGCCAGCAGACCTCAAAAGAAAGCTGGGGTAGCAATTCTTAGACAAATTAGACTTTAAAGACTGTAGTTAGAGACACAGAAGGACACTATATCATTCTTAAAGGGTCTATCCAACAAGAAGATCTAACAATCATAAATATGCCCCCAACATGGGAGCAGCCATCTAACTAAGGCAACTGTTAACCAAAATAGTCAGATTGATAACAAAACGTTAATTGTAGGGGACCTCAATACTCCACTCTCAGCGACAGACAGATCATCTAAGCAGAAAATCAACAAAGAAACAAGAGCTTTGAATGACACACTGGAGCAGATGGACCTCATAGATATATACAGAACATTCACCCTAAAACAACAGAATACTCATTCTTCTCGAGCACACATGGAACTTTCTCCAGAATAGGCCACATACTGGGTCACAAATCAGGTCTCAACCAATACCAAAAGATTGAGATTATTCCCTGCATATTCTCAGACCATAATGCTTTAAAACTGGAACTCAATCACAAGAAAAAAAATTGGAAGAAATTCAAACACTTGGAAGCTAAAGACCACTGTGTTCAAGAATGTTTGGGTCAACCAGGAAATGAAAGAAGAACTTAAACAATTCATGGAGACCAATGAGAATGAAAACACATCGGTCCAAAACCTATGGGATACTGCAAAGACAGTCCTAAGGGGGAAATACATAGCCATCCAAGCCTCACTCAAAAAAATAGAAAAATCCCAAATTCACCAACTAACTCTACACTTTAAAGAACTAGAGAAAAAGCAACAAACGATGCCTAAGCCATGCATTAGAAGAGAAATAATTAAGATTAGAGCAGATATCCAGATATCAATGAATTAAAAACCAGAAACAGTAGATCAGATCAACAAAACTAGAAGCTGGTTCTTTGAAAGAATTAATAAGAATGATATACCATTGGCCATACTTATCCAAAAGAAAAGAGAAAGGACCCAAATTAATAAAATTATGAATGAAAGGGGAGAGATCACGACTAACACCAAGGAAATAGAAATAATTATTAGAAATTATTATCAACAACTATATGCCAATAAGCTGAGCAACCTGGATGAAATGGATGCCTTCTTGGAAACCTATAAACTGCCAAGACTGAAACAGGAAGAAATTGACAACCTGAACAGGCCAATAACCTGTAACGAGATTGAAGCAGTGATCAGAAACCTCCCAAAAAACAGAGTCCAGGGCCTGATGGATTCTCTGGGAAATTCTACCAAACATTCATAGAAGAAATAATACCTATTCTA